GTGGCTTGGAGAACACAGCACCTGTGCAGCCTGCTCTGTGAGCTCTCCCTGCTCCACACCAGCCTCTCAGCCTACTCCCCAGCCCTCCTGGCTGCTGCTGCCCTCCTCCTGGCCCAGCTTATGCATGGACAGAGTAAGAACCATTGCCCGGGACATGCGGTAGAGCAGGGAAACAGAAAGGGCTGGCTGGGTCTTTCTCTTCAGGGAGAAAGCCACTGCCCAAGAAAAGTCCGTCAGCAGTTCTCTCTGCGGGCTACGATTAGAGGGTCCCAGCACACATGCAGCCCTGGGTAGGACAAACATAATCACACAACTGCTTCCTGAAAGGTTTTCAGTTCAAATTCACCCCCAGGTACCTCAGAAGGAAAGCTTGGCAATCTACCACCACAAGTCACAGCCCTGAGACCCCCATGGTGCACAGATCTCCTCCCTATGCCAGAGTCAAAACTAGCTTAGGTGGAGCCACTGCAGGGTGCAAACATTTAACATGCTGCTCTGACTCTAACCAAAGGGTTCCACCACCCAGAGGCCCTGCGGAAGAAAGGTCTGGCAACCTGTCTCCAAAAAATGAGCCCCTGAAAGCCCCATGGAGCACAGTTCCCTCCAACACATGAGGCGGCCACGAGTCTGAGTCAACTCCACAGGGGCCAGCTCTTCCATCACAAGCGTATTCTACATGTTTGGTGGTAGACTTTTGTCTGGTGGTGTTTTAAACAGTTAAATAGGGATTCCAGTCCTTAGCTCCCAGAAACATCACAAAGGGAGTGATGACTAGTTGGGTGTGAGTGGTCAGCAGCAGTTGATACAGCCCCATAATGTCTGGTCTCCTTCCCCCAGCACAAGCCTGGACCCCTCGACTTTGGGACCTCACCGGCTTCTCTCACAAGGACCTGGTACCTTGTGCCCTGAGCCTTCACAAAAAGTGGTGAGTCTTAAAAACCAGCATTAACCTCCCAAGTGGATGTGTGGGCAGACAGACAAGATGAAACGTGGGAATGACAGGGACCGTGCCCATCATTGTGCATGGGCTGACGGATGAGTTGGCATGAGCACCGATTGGGCTCTGTGCCTTTTACGATATGTCTGTGTCTGTGGTGGAGCCAACCTAAACCTCCTAACCAAAGATGCCCTTAAGCAATGGGTCACATCATGGGGCCTCAGGACAGTAATTTCGGGAGACTCTCCACGAGGACAGTGTTCTCACCCCTACACTGGTGTGCAGTGAGTGGGACTGAAGAGCTTGGGAGCAGTCATCTAAGTTGCTACCAGTGGTGTCTGTCCAGAGCAAAGAGGAGGGGGAAAATGTCACATCAAACATGGAAACAGTAAGTCCACAGCACCGCTGGACCTCACCCTTAACTTCCATGACCGTGAGACCAGAAGAGCTGGACGGTGCCATCTACCACTGCTGACCACCTTGAGAAGGATTGCAATGGAGGGTTGTGGTTAGAGCGTGAGATAAATGGAGGGCAAAACTCAATCAATAATGGCCAGCCTTACCTCTTCTGGGGGAGACAATGGAGCCCCAAGATTCTGATTTTTAGCACCCCCTGAGCTGGAACCAGACTCCTCCCTGCGTCACAACTTTTCAGCCCCAAAATAGCAGAGAGAGAAGCCCATGTATTCGTCTCCAGAGGCTGTAAATCACAGGAGAGGAGATGGCCCATCTGATCCTCCCACAATTAATTAATGTAATGCAGTCATTACAATGTCTGGTTAACCCCTTACTGTATTTCATTTTTCCCTCACCCACCTTACCAAGTATCCTTCATCTATTTACTAATTTTCACTCCCTCTCCCTCCCTCTCAATCCCAGGTGTCCATCCAAGAATAATTTTGGTCCGTGTGTGAACCCTTCCTTAGCCTTTTTATAATGAAAGTCTTTTACAATATTTACCTTTTGTGACTGGCTTATGCTATTCTGCATTATTTTCTCCAGATCCATCCTTGTCAAGTAGTGTTTCAGAAATTCTTTCTCATTCTTCAGTGTCACATGGGACAGTATTCTTCGTTCACTTAGAACTTCTTTCAGTAGTAGTATTTTGTGGTTGTCTTTCTGTAGGTATTTTATACTTATTATTGTTGTTGTTATGTGCCATCAAGTCACTTGCGACTCAGCGACTATATGTACAAGAGCTCTAAACGCTGTTCTATCCTGTGCCAACCTCGCCATCTCAAACGCACTCATTCCCACCACTCCAGTCACAGAATCAATCCATCTCATCGAAGGTCTTCCTCTCCTGCATCACCCCTCCACCCTGCCAAATATGATATCCCTCTCCAAGGACCAGTCCCTCCTTGCAGCATGCCCAAGGTATGTCAGTCAAAGCTTCAGAATCCTTGACTCCAAGGAGCATTCCAGCTTTACCTTCTCCAGGACAAACCTGTTTGTTCTCCTAGCAGTCCATGGTATAGTCAACACTCTTCTCCAGCACCACAGCTCAAAAGCATCAATTCTCTTTCTATCACCCCTATTCACTGTCCAACTCTC